CATGGGGTTTTTGTCACCGCTGGAGCTGGGACCAGCAACAACAGTGTGGATTTGGGTGGCAGAGCCACCAGCTGCGCTGTCTCCAGCAGGGCTCTGCTCCCGGCTCCGTGCAGGGACACCCTGGGAATGGGCATCCCGCTCCCGGAGGAGCGCGGGGCCTGTTGGCCGGGATGCCCCTGCTTTGGCGTGCGGCCTCTCTGGGGAAACCCAATGAGTGAAACGACATTATTGAAGCGCAGAGTGACCTCCGAGCATCCCTCGTCACAACATTTGGGTGTTTTGCCCCAACACCGGCAGCTGGGAATAGCCACAATTCCCTGGAACAGCAAAGGCCCCGGGATCCCCACGCTGCAGGCACTGCCGACGCGGGAACATGGCCGGGAAGGCGGGCGGGTCTGGAAAGGTCCCTTTTCGGTTTTGCGAAATACATTTTCCCTTCATTTAATCTTTCTTTTGCTCAAATTCCCAACCGAGGAATTCTTTCCATGAGGCAGAGCCTGCCTCTCCGCTCGCATCCCGGCCGGCGCCGCGGTGCCGAGGCGCTCCCACGACCAAACTTCCCACCGCGCCGCCATGCGAAACCCCTCCAAAAAACCTCTGCTTTTAGTCCAGCTCCTGAAAACCCAGTTTCTGAGTGGCACAAACTGTGTCGTAAACAAAGGGCTGAAAAAAATAAAAAGAGGGGGAAATAATTTTTCATCATTTCTCATGCCGAGGCTCTCTCTTTTTTTTTTTTTTTTAAAACTACAGCAGCCATCTTTGCAAGTTCTGCTCTTTCTGTTTTCTTTTTTTTTTTTTTTTTTTTTTGCGTCATTTTCCAAACTTCTCGTGGGTTTATGGCGCTTCCCGAAGTCAGCAGGGCCGGCTCAACCTTGCCAGGTGGCAACAATTTCCCCAAAGGAGCCGACTAGGTGCAATTATCACCTCGTTTTCTCTTTGGAATTATTAAAGCCTGTGACCCTTCCCATTACGGCTTGGGTGGAAAAGCCTTATGAGGTTGTGGGGATGCTCTGGAGCAGAGGATGCTCTAGGGGTGCATGGGAGGCCCTGGCCTGCGGATGCAGCGGGGAGGCCGCAAGGATGTGGAGCTGCAACCACCGGTGCAGGCGCCTTCATGCGATGCTTCCCCTGCAGCAGCGGGATGCAAAGAGCCTCCCTGGCTCCCTCTCTGGCTCTCAGCAGGGTCAGGCCTGGGCAAAGAGTGTGGCCGGGTGGCAGCGGTGACGAGCAGCAAATGTGCGACGGCCGCGGTCCCCAGCGCCGGCCGCTCTTGGCTGGAGTCGTGGCAAATTGCGGCCGGGAAGCGGGAATCTTGTTTCAATTATTTCCACCCTGCAAAGTGGAGCCATCTAATATATCCTGCCCGCGAGGGCGAAGCGGAGAGATAAAATAAACACTGGGAAGCCGCTGGCGAGGGCGAGGAATTCGCTTTCGCCACCAAGGCCTCCCTGGCGTCCCGCTCCTCCCCGGCGGCCCCTCGGCACCGACTCAGCTCCTCGGAGCTGCTGCTGTTTTGGCAGCACTGGCAGAGCCGGAGCAGGAATTCCAGCGGGAGCGGCTGAGTCTGTCCCCTGTGCTCCAGGTGGTCATGCGAGGAGGGTGAGGATGGGGTGAGGAAGGCCCCGTGTCCCTGCTCTCCTCCCACTTTGCAAGGCTGGCTGTTCCCGACGCACGGGTGCGGGAGCAGCACTCGAGGCTTATAGCATGCTCAATAAGCTCAATTTTGGCCTTTTCTAGTGGATTTCCTAGCACATGGGAGCTCTGGGGCCTCTGGTGCCCCCAGGAGAAGCCTCTCTGGTGATGCCAGCGGGAGCAGGGCAGTCCCGGGCAGGGATGCTCCGGCCCCAGGGCGCTGCCGCTGTTTCGCAAGCCCCGGGCAAGCAGCCTGTGCCGAGCTGGCTCCGGCGGCAGCTGCGAATTTCCATTCCTGTGGGAAGAGGGCTGCCACCGTCCAAGCATCTGCGCTTGTTATGATGGGAGAAGAATGCCAAATATTTCTCATCCTTATCCACCACCCTCAGTTCCAGCCCGCCCTGATCAAACCCACATTCAGGCCCCGATACCCTCAGGCCGCCGCACGCGGCAGCCCCAGCCCGGCCGAGCTGTGACCAGAGCCTCCCGCCTGCCCCTTTCCCTCCGCTTCCCACTCCTGCCCTTTATTTTTCAACCAAAACGTTTCATTTTCGCTTTGCCGCCTATACAGGAAACGCCCCGGGGCCGTCCTGCCCCCGAAAGCACGCGCTGGGATGGAAGCGCGCGGAGCGTCTTGCAAACTTTCCAAATTATCTCGCTGGCCACTTTCTCCTCGGCGCTTTGGAAGAGCGAGCAGGAACATTTCATTCCGCGGAGCTGGCGCGGCTGCCCTGGCAGAGCTCCCCGCGCGCCGGCCCCTCCGGGGGAGGTGGGTGCTGATCCGGTGAGACGGGCACCGATGAGTGCGGAGATCTTGTCGCCTCCACCCGGTGCACGTGCCAGATGGGGCAGTTGGTGCTTCTGAATGTGCATGTCCAAAAAAACCTGAAAGAACTCTCCAAAACCCCTTAATGCTCTGGCAGAAGGGCAAGTCCATAAAGATTGCAGAATCCACCCCCAAACTTGTTAATGCCCCCAGTTTCCTCTGCCAAGGTCACAACTCTGGGGTAACCCAGAGGTGCCTGCGGATATCCCTGGGTGCTCGGTGCTTCCTCACCGTGGGCTGCAGGGACACGGGCACCTGCGTGGGCGCTTGTTTATGGAAAGCAGCCTTGAGCCAGGTGCTGAAAACCTGCATTTTGCAGGTAAAAGGCAGCAGGCCTCCACACCCTGGGCAGTGCAGGGGCAACTCCTGGGCAGCAGCAGCCACTGGCAAGGCCAGCGGCCACCCAATCCTTCCAAAGGGCCAGGGAGCATCACAGAACCACCTCTGAGCATCGCTAGCCCATGGTGGCACAGTGCACACGCGCTACGGGCAGGAAAGCAGCGTGGATTGTGCATACTGCGGGCAGGAGAGCAGCACAGATTGCACACACTGCATGCAGGACAGCAGCACAGCCTGCAAATGCCACGTGCAGGAGAGCAGCGCGGTTTGCTCACACCATGCATGGGCGCATGGCATGGTTTGCACATGCCGCAGGCAGGAGGTGGCACGGTTTGCACGCACCATGTGCTCGTGCATGCACCATGATGGTTTTGCACGCACCACGTGCACCAGCATGGCACAACTTGTACAAGCACATGCAGGAGCGTGGCATAGCTCTCATGCTCCAGCGTGGCACGGTTCACACATGCCATGTGGGCGTCAGGCTTCCCGCGAGGCTCCGCTCCTGGCTCAGAGCCGGCACTCGGACTCATCCTTTCTGGGCAGGCACATGGGGCTCCCTTGGGAAGCCACCGCCGCCGTCACGAGCTCCGCTTGGCAGCCGGAGAGCTGGACGTGGCCCTTGGGCTGCACAGTCACCGCCACCGCGGCGAGCGATGGGCATTGCACATGGGGTCTTGCCCAGCTCCCTGGCTGCTGCAGGATACCCCAGCCCTGTGCATCCCCCGGCGTCTGTTCCTGCTGGGGACCCCGTTCCCATGAGCTCCCGTCCCGGCTCTGCACAGCCCCGCTGCTCTGCAGATGCAAGGGCTGCGGATCGGGGTGATGCCGGTGGCCCCCTTGGTGTCGTCCCTGCGGCCACCTGGGTGGCACCGAGGTGGCTGTGGGCAGCGATCCCAGACGGCTCCGATGATGGAGCAGCCAAAGCCGGTTCCCTTCCCACTCCTCCCACACCGGCCCCCCCTCTCCCAGCCCGGCATCGGGGCCGGACCGGGACCGGGCCGGCT